TCGCGTAATTCACATTCAAAATCGTCGGTCGCTTCAAGCGTTGTTTCTGAGAGAACTTTTCATTCTACATTTTTGTTCAAAATTATTTCAGCTAAATTTTTTCTTTGAAACATTTTTGTTATACGACGTACAGATTCTTAGTTAATCGATATTTTCCATTTTCCCCCCACTAGGAGGGGTTTTAGGGAGAAACAAGGTGGGAGTGGCAAACTTTTTGCATCTTTTTTGGAATCCCAAAATTGACATTCTCAGCAAAATTCAGCTTGTTCGTATGATTTTTCGAGGTTCAATGGCATTTTCGTCTCTGACGACTGGAGTATATATTGGCTCTACATTTTCTAAAACTGTTGTCTAATCTTTCCCCGTTATCATTACTTTTTTCCTTGAAATTTTATTTACAGTCCACAAGTTGGCTCAATAGGTTATGATGTCCTATGATGTCCGCTATAAAAATACTGAATATATTATTATCTTTAGGTTAATTTTGTTTAGTGTTGTGTTCCAAATTACTTGCTGGATTTACCGATAAGCATTTATGCTTATCGGTAAATCCAGCTTGCTCCATTGCTTATGTATAAGCATTTAAGCAATGTGCATTTTTTATTGTTAAGAATATTATAGAAAAAGAGTCTGAAAAAAGTATATTAGAGAAACCTAAGTAGAGTCTGAATTAGCTTATTCCTTTACAGTTATACTGTAAACTAATCAACTTTCGTTCGTACATTGACTTCTATAAAAAGAATAATTAAAATTTATGTATATTAATATCTACAGACACTTCCTCGTATATAATAATAGTAACGTATTCAGATGATGTAAAAATGTCCCTTATATATGCTTAAAGTACCGATAACAACTCCGGTTCATTACCACACAAAGAACCTTTGTAGCTCCTAAAATGGTAACCTTTATTCATAATATGTTTCCGATGAGTCTTGCATCGTATACAGGGTATTACAAAGAACAACACATTTCTGCAGTTATTGCTAGATCGTATTGCAAGTTATGTACAGTTTGTTGATGAGAAAAAATGGATGGATTGATCATGAAAAAGTTAAAATTGATCATTGCTTCAATTTGAGTTTCTCGGTAAATCCATTAACAGAAATCCGCAAGCATTGCTGCTGACCCTTTCCCATTGTAGCGTCTTTCAATGTGCAATATGAAATATATCCTGGTGAAACCTTTCAAGATACTGATCTGATACAGCATCAACATTTTCAGAAAAAAATCTTAAGTGCGAATCTAAAAAATGAATTGACATATTGTGTTTTAGAGTTTCATAAGGAGAAAGACTTTCTTTAATGATTTCTCGGTAGTTATCAGCCAAGAAAATGATGACACACTTTTATTAGATCCACCCAACCTATTTCTTTGCTATGTTTGACAACAAATTTAAAAGCTACATCTATCATAAGCTCTCGTATTTGCGGATCAACAAAAGTTCCTTATTTTAACTTTGCGTCACTGAATCGGGAAAATTTAGTCGTCACTGATTCGGGAAAATATAATAGATACCAGCTTTGTGTGACGTGGTGACAGAAAAATTTTGTCTAGTTGCATTAACGGATTTTGAGAAGGTTTGCCACGAGTTACTGTTTTTTGGCCGATGTGATCTTCCGATATATAATTTTATCTTTATTTTTCTCTAGAGTCCTCGTGTTAATGTCATGTAAGAGTAGAAATTATTTTTATGATTCTGAGGTTCATTCCTAATCATTCTTAACGTTCTTGAGCAACTGGTGTAATATAATTTTGGTTGCCAATTTTTATTCCTGCTTGTGCCTTATAATCTGCTATGATGGTGACGCTCTCAAAGTGAAGATGATGAAAATTTAACATGTTAATTTCTTAAAAAAAGTCAAAATGCATGGTTGTAACAGCAAATTTACTAAGCCGTAAATTGAAGCTGAAAGGTCATATAATAGAACAAGTGATGGAGTTAAAATATCTAGTCATCACATTATCTAGCTACGGAAAGCTCTAAATAATAATGAACAGAACAAACACAGACGCAAGTTGCCTGAATAAAGTAATATGGAGAAATAAAAATATCAGTGAAGAAATGAATGGCAGCATTTACAACACTTATCAGATCAATAATGACATACGCGGCAGAAACAAGACCTGATACAAAGAGGACAAAAAGGATATTAGAAATAGCAGAGATAAAAACATAAAAAAATATGGTAAAACATTATGGGACAGACCTAGAAGTACATAATTACATACACAGAATATGGGATTTGTGCAGAGATACCAAAATATTCGAAATATTCGTGAAGTCATAGCCAGAAGAGATTGGGGATCTACATCTACATATTCGTATTCAGCGAAAAATTTTACATAAGATAGAATTGTTTTCAACTATTTACCCTTCCACGCATACAGAGAAGTACCTAACTGCCGTACTAATTTTATAGTATGATAAAGAAACAATTCTAAATTACAATTTTTTATGTCATTTTGAAAAAAGATATTTACACAATAATTGGATGCGTACGTACTTATACACTCTTCTTCTTCTTTTTTATAAGCAAAATGCTTGTTCAATGTCGATTAATGCCTCTATTGGAGGTTATCACTCCATCTTTTGCGTGGTCGCCCGATACTTCTTCTACCTTTTGGTGATTTGTCCCTCGCTATTCTGACTAATCGGGTCTTTTCCATTCTGTTTATGTGTTCGTTCCATTCCTTTTTTCTGTTCAGTGTCCACTCATTTATTTCTGGTATATTGCATTTTCTTCTGATCTCTTCACTCCTCATTCGATCCCTCAGTGTGTTTTCTGTAATTCTCCTCAGTAAACGCATCTCCGCTGTTTCTAGTAGTTGCTGAGTTTTGGAGGTATCCGGTCTTGTCTCCGGTGAAGTGTATGTCATTATTGGTCTTATTGTTGCTTTGTAGATTCTTGATTTCACGTCGGTATTAATGTGGGGATTGTGCCATATCGTGTTATTAAGACAACCTGCTATTTTATTAGCCTTTTGTACTTGATTTTTCACTTCCTTTTCCACATCTCCGTAGCTAGACAGTGTAATTCCTAGGTAATTTGTCTCCATTACTTGCTCAATGCTGTTACCGTCGATTTCCAGATTACATCTAATTGGTTCTTTACTGATTACAATTGTTTTAGTTTTCTGTGTAGAGATCACCATATTAAAGTCCTTTGCCCTTGTGTTGAATCTATGGGTTAGTCTTTGTAGATCGTCTTCATTGGATGCAATTAGGGCCGCATCATCTGCATAGCAGAGTATTCTGATTTCTTTGTTCTTCATTTTCTATCCTCTTCCTTTATTAATAGTATTGATGATTTCATCCATGATTAGATTGAATAGCGTTGGACTAAGCGAGTCTCCTTGCCTTATTCCATTGCCCATATCTATTAGATCTGTAAGCTGGTCATCTATTCTGACTTCCATATTGTTGTTCTGGTAAATGTTCTCTATTGTTTTTATAACATTTAGTGGAATTTCTCTATCGTAAAGAAGGTGAATTATATCTTTAAGCTTTACTTCATCGAACGCTTTCTTCAGGTCTATTAGACATATGAATGCTGGTCTGTTATACTCTAGTGCTTTCTCGGTAATCTGTTTTATGATGAATACTGCATCTGTGCACCGCTAAGGTGCTGTTCATCCGCTAAGGTAATTCTCTGATTTATTTGGCCTTGCAATATTTTGGTTGTAAGCTTCAAAGTGATGTTTAATAAGTTGATACCTCTGTAGTTTTCAGGTTGTTTTTTATCTCCTTTTTTGTATAGTAGGATAAGCTCGCTTTTCTTCCACTCTTCAGGTATTTTATTATGTTTGATGATTTTGTTAATTAGTGCTGTTAGCTGTTCTGTTATGCTTCTCCACGATATTTCAATAATTCATTTGGAATTCCATCTTTACCTGCAGCTTTTCTGTTCTTCAGTTTTTCTAAAGTTTGTTTTACTTCTTGTACGGTTATCTCGACTTCCTCGTTTGTAATGATTTCTGGTGTTTCTGGTTCTAACATCATTTGCTTTGTACTTATACACTCATGGGCAAAAATATCGAATATTTTGGAATTAAAAGTATGCCTCCAATTCGACACTGCGATGAAGCCCAAGGAGCACAGATTGTAATTATATATAAGGAAGGATATGCATAAAAAGATGTCGCACGACGTCTCAGGAGAAGTCAATCTACAGTTTTGAACACTTTAAAAAGGTTCTGCAGAACAGGAAATTTTGTACGAAGGCCTGATTAAGGACGTCCAAAGTGCCCAACCGCAATTGATGACCGTTTTTTGGTTCTTAATTCTACACGATATCGTTCATTGATATCGATGCACCTCAGAAATGAGCTATTAAATGTTAGACAAGTTAATGTGGGTTCAGAAACTGTAAGGCAAAGATTAAAAGAAGCAAACTTAAAGCTCAGACGCCCCGCCAAAGTTCCACGACCTCTCCAAAATCATAAAACTCGTTGTTTAGAATTTGCAAGACCACATATTCAGTAAAACATCGACAACTTCAAAAATGTTCTTCTCACTGATGAGAACAGAATCCTATTACGAGCCCTAACAACTATTTGTTGGAACAAGCAGTTATTTTGCAAATATAATGCCAATTTACCGAAATTCCTTTATTTAATTTTTTTTTAAATTGTAAATATGAAATTAACAACATTTTTTATGATGTATGGAATTATTTTTACGGCTAAATTATATATTTTATATTGAATACTATGTAATTAATTATTTGATAATCGAAATGTGCTGACAACTAAATGTTGGAACATTTTTTGCTTTTCCTCACGTTTCTTAAATTTTATCAGCCTGACACAAAGAAGACTTAAAATTAAACATACGAGTAAGTAGTGCGTTTTCAACAATAATTGCCATGGTTCATTTGAGTATGAATAAAGACAACTGTCAGTTTTATTACGAGCAAAATATAATAATGGAACGTGGAAACCCTACTGATAAAAAAATTCGAGAAATTATTATTCATCAGTACCATGAAGGGAAAGCAATGCGTGAAATTTCCAATGAATTGACTGTAGCAACAACTACAGTGTTTAATATAATTAATAAATATGGTGAAAGTGCCAGTATTGATGTTTGCAGAAAAAGCTCATGCCCTCCAAAAGCTGTTTCTCAAAGGAGTGCATTTAATTCGAATATGTAAGTCGGGAACAAAAAACACACTACGAGAAGTAACCGTTGGATGGAATAGAGAAACTGGGATGAATGTTTCCAGAGAATCCTGTTGCAAATATATCCACAAAAGCGGTCTTAGTTTTTATAAGGTATGTTTGATAGGTTCTTCTTTACAATATAAATTTTCTGTTTTTTTATTTATTCCCAGTAGGCCAAAGAAAAACCATTGCTGACGGAACTCAAAAAAGGAATCGTTATATTTGGGCTAAATTAAAACTTTCGTGGACCAAACATAGCTGGGACAAAGATATCTATAGCGACTAAAGCAAATTTGATGTCTGTGTGGGAGATTATCGAAAGCGCGTGATTCGTCACAAAGTGTTATTCGAGAAGCAGTCCATAAGGATTTTCTCTAAGTAAAAATTCCACAGGGCATCATGGTAGGGTTGTCTGTCGGCAAAAGAGTTGGGAACATTACATTTTATTGAGGCCATAGTAAACTCAGCTAAATACCAATACATCCTTGAATATGGGCCTCTACCAAATGCGGCATAGTTCCATCTCCATTCGGAGATTTTATCTTACAGCAGGATGGAGCCTCCTGTCATACGGCTAAATATACCAAATATGGTTGGGGTAACATGACATTAAAGTTTTGTCACATCCTTCTAGCAGCCCGAATCATAATCCAATAGAGGCATTTTGACACAAAATGAAACAACGCCTAAAAAATAACCCTCAGCGTACTTTGCCACAACTACGTGCTAAATTACAAGAAATATGAGATAGTTTCACCCCTGAATTCTATGAAGGCCTAGTTGGTACAATCCCTAATAGAATTCAGGCTGTTTTCAATCTAAGGGCGACGTTACAAATTATTAATATTTATTTTAATATCTTAAAATCCTCTTGTTCCAACATTTAGTTGTCAGCATGTTTTGGCTATCAAACAACTAATTAAATAGCTAATCAACAAAAAACTGCTTGTTCTAACACATAGTTGTTAGGGCTCGTATGTAAGTCAGATGGTCAAAACCACATCTACAGAAGAGTTGGAGAACGATTCGTTAGCTGCAATCTCGCTCAGACCGTTATTTTTGGAGGTGGTGGCATAATTATTTGGGAAGGTATTAGTTGGGTGGGACGCACCGCACTCGTGAAAGTGAGAAGAATCTCGTTCAACAATGGAATGCAATTTCCCAAGATTATGTTCAAAATTTCCTTGCAATCATGCCGAGAAGGATGCAAGTAGTAAGAAGAGCTAGAAGGGGGAATACTCGTTAGTGATCATGCAATGCTTTCAGTTAAAAAGACTGGTTTAGGCAGTTTTAATTAGCATTTAAGTTTAGAGTAAAATATCCTTATTTATCTAATATTAAGCATTTATTCTTTTCGCCATTTTCTCCGCATAAGAACTTAAAATTGTTCGTTAAACATTGTTAAAATAAAGCATATTTTACAATAAATGACTTAATTGACCAAAATTTGTTTTGAAAAAACAAAAATTAGAAAATTCCAAAATATTCGATATTTTTATCCATGAGGTATAATATTAAAATTTTTAATGACCATCTGTTTTTGTTAACATGTTCTACAAAAAATTTGCAAAACATTTTTTCTAATTTCGGCCATTTTCATCCTATTTAATATTTTGTTTCGTATTTCTTTCTTTATTAAGCAACTTGTATTTTTTATATTGTGTGTTAAATCATCCTGTAAGCGATAATCAAAGACCAAAATTCTAGGCGTCTTGCTATCAAAGAAGTTATAGATAGGTAGTTACGAAATAACATGAAATAACATGTGGTCCTGCTTTCAATAACAAACGTCTAACGAAGTTATTTTGGTATAATACGCCTTTTGGCCTAAGTGTATTTATATCAGCTTTGGGAGCGCATTAGGCCAGACATCAGTAACAACTGGTTTTCTTGTGTAAGAGAGTGTGTCTTTTACGAAAATTGTAATTATTTATCCTTTGTAGTTGTCAAGATTTTTTAACACAGGGCTGAAAGTGATGTTCTCTCGGAGGAGTACCTCACATTGACCTATAGGTTTATATTTTTTCCATCAAAAAGCGAAATAGATGTTACGTTAATTAGTCAAGCTGCAAATATTTTTTAGAGTAATTTTTACACAAATGTGTAGTAAAGGTATCTTATACCTAAAAAGATGACATTTTGGCTTCAGAAGGAAAGAAAACCAAAACAAGCATTACCAGATTTATTCTCGAATTTTATTTTCTGCGTCGATCTTCTACGTACAGCTTCATAAAAACAAGGAGAATAAATAAAAAATAAGAAAATTGATGCATGTTATCGTCTTAAACGTCATTGAATGTCTTCAAAAATATCGTGAGTGATTTCTACAAATAGAAAGATATCTTAATTTCACCAATAAAACTGACAAAAATATAATGTTCCAGGCTGAAATATTGCTACATAATTCACTTCCCAAATCTAAATTATTAAGAAATTCTTATAGCTGGTCTTCCTTCCGTCTTCTTCCTAGAGGTTCGCATTCCATTGCTCTTTTTGGACACTTATGGCTTGGCATTTTTTGAACATAACCATACCATTGTAGTGCTATTTTCTATTGTTATTGAGCATTTTACTTAAATATTCTTTAATCCGGTTCCCCATATTTCCTCAGTTCTTATGCTGTGCCATCTGGTAATTTAAAAACATCTTCCCATAAAGTCCAATTCTACTGTTCTTATTTTATTTTGTATTATTGTTGTTTATGCTACCAAAAGCAAAGCTTATATGTAAATAAGGAAAATAACAATTGGCATAACCCATAAATTATTACCAGTTCAAGAGAAGCTCTTACCATTTTTGTGGTGTTGTAGTTGGCAGAAAGATGAAGAACCGCGTTAAAGTGGACAAAGTCTCGCCGTCGAGATGCAGTTACAGGAAGAAAGAAGATTTTCGACGTACTCAAAGGTAGTTGTTTACGTTACGAATGCTGGTTTTGGTCTCCTTTTATTAAAACTTTGTGAACCATTGAGTGGAGGCTGCGTGAATTTTTGGTTTTTTGACAATAGTTCTAATGAATCCTTTGGCAGTACTATACCTTAAACCGTATCTTAAAGCACCGTGTGCCAGTGTATCTCCTGTTTAGTGTTCTCCGTTCACGTCTCGAATTTGATAGCCCATTTCTTGGATAGCTTTCAAAAACCAGTCTACGAGGTTAGAGTAGAGTAATCTTAGAGATGTTTTAGTTGTCAGCTAAGCGTCGAAGTCTCGGTGTGGCATTGCGGCGCTGTAAAGTATGATGGACGGGCTGCCGTGAAGAAAAAAATGAAGCCTTCGACGACTTAACAGTAGACGTTCGGAGTTTCTTGTTTGGTTCTGTCTTTTCCGTAGGTACGAATTCCTATTTACGTATATACGAATATTTCGGACGGCAAGTGCGCTGTAATAAATTAAGTTATTCTTAATCTTTAATACTGCCATTTCAATCTTTCTGTACAAAATTGCTTATACATCTCCTCAGGAAATTAATTTTTTAAAAGCTTTTATCTTAAGTGTTCTGGGATAAAATTATTGATTTCCTAAAAACGTATGGAGATTTAGATGTGGTTCTCCGATACGACAAACCCATTAATATGCCAATTTTAACGTGGGAATTTAAAACTAGCTTTTAAATAACGTCATACGGAGGACTAAGAACTTCTTCTTCTTCAGCCTTAAGTAATCCCACTTTGGACATAGGTCTCCCCCAAATCAAGTGTTTTCTATTTTGCGCCTCTTGCTTCCAGTTATGTCCTCCGATCTTCTTAATGTCATCAGCCCATCTCATTTGTTGTCTTCCTCTGCTTCTCTTTCCTAACCATGGCCTCCATTGTTGTATTTCGTGGTTCCATCTCTTATCCTTCAGTTGGGCATTGTGTCCTGCGAAAGTCCATTTTAATTTGGCAGCATGTTCTCCTGCGCCTTTTGCTTTAGTTTTGCTTCTAATCCATTTGTTAGAACTTCTTAGTAAAGTTTAATGAAAGAAAATAGTTAAATTAAGGAACAGGCAAAATGTCAGACAGGTAGTGTCTGGGTTGAACAAGAAGAAGAATAAGTTCTAACACAAAATTTGTCAAGATACTGATATCTTCAGATTGATATGCTTTATATAATTATATAAATAAAATTAATATGTGTCTTGGATATTTGTTGTAGTTTTCTATGCAGGATAGCAGAATATTAATGGCTAGAACCACTCCATTTAGCTTTTCTTTTGGTACTTGATCAACCAAACACACAGAAAAACAAGTTTATGAAAAAAGTATGTATTGACCTAACAAAAGTAATAACCTGTTCCATATCTTCACCAATAATATATAACATTTATAAAAAGCAATTATCTACCAATGTCGTAACGCTGATGACAAAAAATGGGGTTACACTAGTTCTTACGAGAGATTATCAGTGTGGGATAAATAACGTCAACTTTAAGTTGGCGTTATTTAATTATTTTGACCGGCCTACGAGATATAAGAGTATTAATACCGTCATTTAAACCATCGTGTAGATTCAATCTTAATCTGAAATAATTTAATATGGTAGTTTAATGAGACAAGCGCTATTCAGTGTATGCTATTCTTGTACTAATATATTATGTTCTTTTCATGTACAACGAAAGTTCAAGAAAAGTATCGGAATGTTCAGTTAGTACAACAGTAATAATTTTATTATTTTGTGTTGATCTTGTGATTAGCCAGTATATTAATAGTTCATACTAATTTATTGTCAAATTAATTCTTTTAATTTCATTAAAAATATTCAAGATAACATAGAATAAAAATAATTTTATATAAATAATAATATTATAAATAGTAAATTATCTTATAAATAGTAAATAATCTTCTTTTTCTTTTTTTTATGTAGACATAACTTTGTTTTTTCAATCAGTTGACAATCCATTCCATCGTTTACGTGGTCTGCCTACCTATCGTCTTCCAATCCATCTCTTGCCGTTTTTACTACTGTATTTGTTATCATTCGGCTTACATGATCGTTCCATTCTACTCTTCT